CATGTTTGACTTTGACTTTGACCTTGCAGATGCTGGCAAGATCAAGACTGCCATCCTTTTTGGGAAAAGTCAAAGCCCACTTCACAGTCAAAGGCAAAGTCCACTTCGCAGTCGAAAGTCAAACTACTTTGCAGTCGAAAGTCAAAGTCCACTTCAAGTCAAAGTCAAAGTCAAATTCAGCATAGGATACCTCAGAATGTGGTGATCGCAGGGGACGCATAAAAATCGGGACGTTTCTGACTGTCCCAGTGTTGGAACTCTATAGGTGGCAGTTTGTTTGTTTTTTTTAGCTTTTTTTTGCGCCTTTTTTGTACTTCGGAGAGTTGATCCAGTGTTTCTTTTTTTTTTTTCCAGTGTTTCCACATGGCTTGACTGTCGTTTTCTCGTATTTAGGAAAAAGTCTGACATCACATGCTGGAGCTCGTATAGCTATGATGGTTATTAAGGAGAAAAGAGAAGAAAAAAAAAAGGTGATATGATCGCGATCGTCCCTGTTGACATCGAAAGGCCAGTTGGGTTTATGTGGCTAAGGGCATTACTCACACTACGACTTTTTGTACTGAGCTCTGGACCTGATTCAAGTCAGATTCATCCGAGCCTGGCCGTAATTGCAGTTAGATTCGTCTGTGGAAGTCCCAGTGTGTTTATGTAACTTTATGCTCTAAGAATGGCCGAGTTGGTTTCTTCAAGGATGTAAGAAGAAGAGTGTTCTGGGCAAACGTCTCTCGGAAATGCTTGCGCTATGTTGCGGGAAGGGTAATGTTTGAGACTTGTGCCCTGCCTCGTTGCGGATCGTGTGCATTATTTTCGAAGGGTGCATCAAGTCAATTTGCACACAAGTGTTCATCGTGGCATTGCATTACACGCCTCCTGAGGAATATGCTGCACCTAACCCTGTCTACTGTTTGAACCTGGTTTTGGTTTTGGACCTGGTTTTTAGTCTTGGACTTTGTTCATGGAATGGTCCTTGTGTTCATCACCGCTGCCTGTCTTAGGTTTGATAGGTAAGTTTCCTGAAACCGCCAGCATGCGGCCCCAGCCTTGCAGATTTTTTATTTTGTTTTGTTTTTGTTCTTTGAGACACAATGCTAGGAGAGGTGATAAGAGCACCCCCTCCTAGCAAGAGACCTGGGTGCTCCGGTCTATTGGTGGGGAGCAGCACCTGCTGGAAAGCGTGTCCAGCGTCCCGTTGTACATCCGACAGCCTGCCAGCATCGATTGCCCTGTTGCCAGGGGATTAACTGTGCAGGGTTAATGATAAGTATGTTGGACAGCAGTACACTTCAGGGTGCCGCCTCTTCAGTCTGCGCCAGACCGCCAGATCCCTCCTGTTTCCCTAGCGGCTACTTCCTACTTCTTCTGAATATCCGCCGATACCTTCCGTGTCCTGTTTGTTGACCCGCTGCTTCCTTACTTGGTCCCATCAGCCTGTGGTCTTGCCTGTGGTCTTCCTCACTCTGCTCCATACCATTGCATATCGACCATTGCCAGCTGGTGGGGTGGGAAGGGGTCGGGGAATTCTGTGGATGGTCGCAGCGGGATCTCCTGGCCCACCGTAGTCCAGTCTCTGAAGCAAATACGGTAGTCTCTCCTGAATTCCACCTTGTTACACTCCTGGGTGAGCCTGCCATCCCATTGGACAGATGCGATCCAGGCCCCATCCTCGCTGCCCAACCAGTCCCCAGAGAATTTATGAATTGCTTGTGTTATGTCCTTTGATGAATGGAGCAGCTCAAGTTGGTTTTTAACTTTTTGCCACTGTACCATGAGTTCTTGTTGAATATATTGTTTTCAAAAGTCCCCATCCTCACTGCCCAACCAGTCCCCATCCTCAAATTACCTCTTCCCCAGCTATGTGGACCCCCCTCCTATGAATCCCCGTCGGCGGCGGCCAAGCGCGGCCGAATCCACGGACACGGCCAGGCCGCTGACCCCGCGGACGCGTCCGCGCGTCCGCACGACTTCGAAGCCACGTGGCGGCCAGTGGGGAGGGGGGTTGGGGATTCGGGAAGCGCCATGGGGCGGCGCAACCCCAGCCCCACCCCCTCGAACAAAAAAAAAAAAAAACAAAAAAAAAAAACAAATTTTTGGTTGCGGGGGTTCGGGTGAGTAAAGGTATTTCGGGAAAAAAAAACAAAAAAACAAAAAAACAAAAACAAATTTTTGGTTGCGGGGGTTCGGGTGAGTAAAGGTATTTCGGGAAAAAAGAAAAAAAAAGTGCTTTTTTATCTTTTTTCGTTGATTGATTGATTGATTGATTGGCCCCACAGGCGCACACACATAGGCAGGATTGTATATTTCCATGTTCTAGCGGAAGATTCATTCGATTTTGCTTTTTTTTTTTTTTTTGGTTGATTGATTGATTGATTGATTGATTGATTGATTGATTGATTAGTGGGGGCGGGGTCGCCCCCCCATCCCC